CACAATGGGGCAACTGGTTCTGAAGAGAATCTTCCCACATCAGGATGAAGGAAAGGGTAAATTCTCACCAAACTGGCAAGGCCCTTACATGGTTCACCAAGTACTAACAGGAGGAGCACTCATACTAGAAGAAATGGAGAGATATGGTCGAAACATATCAATTTGGACACCGTTAAAAGTACTATGTCTAAGGGGGGATACATAGGTTAGCCCTGTGGGTTCGGTCATATAATAATATAATTTTCATTTCCCGCCACGATTGGAGATGGGGCAAACTTCGAATTTCATTAGATCCAATAGCATTTCACCAAAGAGTTACCAGAAAGGATTATCGTAATATATATCAGAGACAACCCATCAGAACTAGGGCAGAAATTTGAATCCCGAGGGGGCACCTCAGAATGCTACACGGGATAAGGACATTGCAATGTCTCAAAACGTGTCACAGTCTATGACTCAACAAAACTATCTATTTTGTGTATATTTTAATAATTTCATTCTTTATGGCAGACCAATTACAAAATGCATATTTTTCAAAAATCAATTTTTGTAATAGCCAAATGTTACCCAGGCTAGCTCAAAGCATAAAGGTGTCAAGCTCAGAAAGCAAAGTCAAAGGAAAGGATGGAACAAAGGATTAAAAGCACGAACCAACCTTTCTCCCAACGTACAATATTTCTTTGAATGCAGGTATAACAGGTACAATATTATCTGAAGTATCTATAAAGGATACACGACAAGACCACTATGTTCACATGAATAAATGATACCAAGCTTAAATGTGTCAAGCTAAGAATTTCTTTCCTTTATCGCGTTTGCATGAGGCTAACCTCTTCCTCCTTATTGCACAGGGATAAGCATTGCCTTCACCTGTATAGGGATAAGCATTGCCCTCACTATTTGCATAGGGCTATGCACTGCCCTTATTACTTGCATGAAACTAAGCTCTGCCTCCATCATTGCATGAGACGAAGCATTGCCTTCATCTGCATAGGGCTAAGCACTACCCTCCTTATTTGCATAGGGCTAAGCACCGGCCTCATTACTTGTATAAGGCTAAGATCTGTCTCCATCATTGCATAAAGGTAAACATTGCCTTCTAATTGCATAGGTCTAAGCACTGCCCTCATTACTTGCATAGGGCTAAGCACTGCTATTATTATTTGCATAGGGATAAGCACTGCCCTGCTTCTTGCATGAGGCTAAGATCTGCCTCCATCATTGCATAAGGCTTAAGCACTGTTCCACATCTGCATAGGGCTAAGCACTGCCCTAATCATATGCATAGAGGTAACTACTGCCCTCACCATCTGCATTAGTTTCAAGCACGACCCCTCTACTTGCATAAGGCTAAGCATTGCCTTCCTACTTGCATAAGGCTAAGCTCTTCCTCCATCATTTCATAAGGCTAAGCATTATCTTCTTCCATTCTTGCATAAGGCTAAGCACTGCCTTCGTCATCCGCATAAGGCTAAGCGCTGCCTATCTTCTTCGTCAAACATTCAAGTGTCGCCGCATCCTTGCATTTCATTAGTTGAAATATCGCCACATTATCCGAAGGCGTCATAGTCTGAAGGCATCATCCTCATAATCTAAGGACAACATTCCATGGCCTAAGTATCTCAAAGTTATAATTCCAAAATGAGAAAAACACTCAAACCCTAGATTATAAAACGTGTCAGCAATCTCGCATATGCGGTCACTTAGTCGCTTCTGCGGTACCGCTTCTACGGAACAAGGATTGTATCTGCGAACAAGCCAAATGCCCGACAATCCACTTCTCTGGTAACACCCAGCACTTGCGCTCCCGCACCTGCGGAATCCTTCCGCACCTGCGAGCCCAGCTCCTTCAGCCAATCTCCGCTTCTGCGGAATCCTGTGCACATCTGCGGACCTCCCCTAGCCAAGTCTACCTCGCGCGTGCACAACAAAGGACGTCGGACCTTCAGCTCTGCATCTGCAACCAATCCCACCGCAGATGCGAAAACACCAGAAATCTGATACTTCAACAATTTCTCTAAGTCCAAAATGCATCTGAATTCAATTCCTCACACCGAGGCCCCCCGGGTCCCATCCAAACATACAAACAAGTCTTAAAACATAACATGAACCTATTCGAGGCTTCAAATCATATAAGATAACATCAAAATCACGAATCACACCTCAATTCAAGCCTAATTAACTTTCAACTTCCCAAAACGCATGCCGAACCATATCAAATCAACTCTGAATGACCTCAAACTTTGTATGTAAGTCCCAAATGACCCAACGGACCTTTTCCAACTCGCGAAACCAAAATCCGAACCCGATATCATCAAATTCAACTCTCGATCAAACCCATCAACCTTCCAAACCTTTAACTTTCCAACTTTCGCCGAAAGGCACCAAACCAATCTACGGACCTCCAAATCTATATCCGAACATACACCTAAGTCCAAAATTACCATACGAAGTTATTGGAGCCATCAAAACTCCTTTTCGGAGTCGTCTACACAAAAGTCAAACTCTGGTAAATTCTTTCAACTTAGCTTCCAACCTTGGGACTAAGTGTCCCAATTCACTCCGAAACTTCGCCGAAATCAAACCAACCACTCCCGGCAAGTCAGGAAACCTCAAATACACATAAGTAAGCATCAAATAAGGGAAATAGGATAAAGTACTCAAAACGACCGACCGAATCGTTACATATTTGCCCTCTTTTGGAAGTTTGCTTCAAGTATAACCTTGTCATTAAACTTTTGGTCTAAAAATACCCCTATTTACTAACGGGCATATGTTTGAAGCTATTTGTTCCTAATTTTACTGATTTGGATTTTAAATTTATTAATATTTTGATTAGCACCAAAATTTCTCATGTGTCAAACTTATCTTTCTAACCTTCTTCATCTCTCATTCATGTTGAAATGCAACGCGAATGTAACCTCATTTCATCCAAATCCATGGTAACCCACATAAATCATTTTGTACCGACCACTACCATTACAATGCGATCTCTATTACGAAATTCACTTCTCCCACAAAGTTCACTGTTGGTGCTAGAGTTGAATTTGGAAATTCCATCACCTTTGTTCTTCCTATTTGGGTTGAAAGTTTGGATTCTTTTTTAATTTCAGAAATTTAGTTGCTTGTGGTTGATTTTCGTTGCTTGTGGTCATAAGCTTCTTCTATATTTTTTTACTTTGGGTGCCTGCTCTAAACCCAAAATGAAGGTGAATTTCTTTTTTATTATGTCAGTTTAATTCTTCACAACTTCTTTTTATTATTTGGCTTGTGTCCATTTATCTTTCCTTACACTCATCGCCATATTTAAGAAGGAAGAACTATTTTCGTTTTTTTAAGCTTCCTTTGTGAGAAAAAATATGGATGGAATTTGAAGTAGGCAGAAGAAAGAGGTCTCACTGAAGCTAAAAAACTATGGGGGTTCTGCAACCGTTCAATGGTGGTGCTATAGTAGCAAAACGGCGAGGAAAACCAGGATGGCCACGAGTTTTCTTCTCTCACTTTTCTTGAGTGTGTGTGACCATGGCTTAATCGGGTCAAATGGAGTCGATTAAATGGGTGTGGATTGAAAATGCCACACGTGCAGCTCTGGTGCTAATGAATAAAATTAGAAATAAATTAGCTTGTAATATATGCCCGTGAGCAAATAGGGGTAATTTTTTTTTTTTAGTCCAAAAAATTAACGATAAAGATATATTTGAACCAAACTTCTAATGAAGGGCAAATTTAGACATTTTTCACGAAGTATAAAGTTAAATTTGGACCTTTTCCCTGTATAAATACTTAGCATATGAATGAAAAAGGTGAAGCTTTCTTTTCCAAAATTATCATCTATCTCGAGCTCTTCTACTCTCTCTTTTTTTATCGGAAGCTTCTAAAATCACTATTGTGCTCATTATGAGCACCTCAGATCTGTATTTTCCTGTATCATGATAGAGGGAGTGTATATTACTTCAAGGTAAAAAGCAAAACGTGCAACTGTTCTCTTTTCTCACATTTCCAACACTTTCAACCATTTCCGCCCCTAAAATTATTCCTTTAAGCCATTGGTATTCCGAGCAAATCGAATCGGACAGCAACCGCCCAACCCCCTTTTTATTCTTTCGGATAAAATATTGAAGATTAATAGGTAAAGATTATTAATATAAGTAAAATGTAGGCAATTTAATTTTGATGGCGTCACCGTCAAGATAGAACAAAAACAAAGGCAACAGCGACATTTCCTTTCACGTGATGCTGCCACGTACTTGTTGGGATTGCTTCAGCATCCGCTAGCTGTCCGTCCCCATTAATTATCAACTTTCAATATATGTAGAATCGATTTGAGCGATATAATAATGTAAAAAAATTTAGCTTAATTTCTTCTTTAAATTATTGTTCCAATTAACATTTTATATTATCATAAGTCTTAATCTCCCTTTGTGCGAATGTATCTATATCTATGATTAAAGCCTTTGTAATAGTTCTTATCTTACCATACAGAAGTGGGAGTAGGCGTTGTGTTACATTGAAAACAACATATGATGACATGCATTAACGAGACGAACCACCTCCAACCTTCAAATTTGTCAATACATTCATATTTCTTACCATACAGAAGCATCAATAAAAGTTAGAGCACATATAAATGAAATACGACAATTTATAACATATAAAATGAGACGAAACAATAATAATAATAATAATAATAATAATAACAACGATAATAATATCATTACCATATGACTATAACAACAACAATAACAACTTTGTTTCAATGCAAATAAACATATAAGTAAGTCTCAGTTGAGAGTAATGTCAATAATGTCCTACATTAAATATGAACAAGGAATTCCATCAGGCCAAAGTGGATAGTAACAATTATACAAAAGTATCGAATGGAAACCACATAGGTAAGTCAGCTATTTGGAGGAAAAAATTGCCTATACCAACTATATATGAATTATGCTTCATTTGATCAGTATATGAATACCATAACCATTATTATAAGAAGAATTAAAATAGAAGGGGCATGTGTGAACTGGCGAATCAAACTCGATCTCTTTCTACAAATCTAAACACCATCACTTGTTTTTATTCCTTTCTTAATCCAATACTTGTTGTATTAAAACTGAAAGAAAGCTTACTCATCATTCGAACTATATATACAACAAAATATAGGCCAACAGCAGAGTACACACCTACACGTAGATATCGAGAGAGAGAGAGATGTCGGATTGGGGGCCAGTGTTGATAGCAGTGGTGCTGTTTGTGCTGTTGAGTCCAGGGCTACTGTTTCAGTTACCTGGTAGGCACAGAGTTGTGGAGTTTGGGAACATGCACACAAGTGGCCTCTCCATTCTTGTTCATACAATCCTCTATTTTGGACTCATTACCGTCTTCCTTATTGCTATCGGAGTTCACATCCACACTGCCTAATTAGTTTTCTCGTTGTTTCCTTTCTGCTAATTGGGCTTTTCTTGTTTTTTTTTTTTTTTAGTTCATTGTTGTTTTCTCTTAATACAACTCTACTAATTAAATTGTCTTATTTGCACTTCTAGGGAATTATAAATCAAATTGGCATTTTTCTTTTCTAGAAATATTGTTAGTAATAATATCTGTTACTTGTGTGACATTGATCTTTTATTTGTTTTGACGTGGCAATATTAAAATTAATATGAGTAATGAATATTTTATTCAAAATTTATTGAAAATAAATAAAAAGAACGGAATTATACATATCCATTGTTCGTTTAGCATGTCTCATGGTTGCTGCATTAGTGCGTGTTGACTGTTCAACTTACCCGCTTTGCATGGGCTTAATTCAGTCTTAAATCTTGGGATAAGTGCAGATATACCTTATTTTGAGATCTCCATTGAAGTTATACCCGTATTGTATAAAATAATGACAGAATAGTCTAAGAGGCACTCGTACTTACACCGTTTTGATATTCCGGTCCCCATACTTCATAAGTTTTCATCTAGACACCTTAACTTAGTCAAAACTTATATTTTAAGCACCTCCGACCATGAGTGTTGCTCACTTGCTTAACGTGGATGACACATCAGATCCACATCATTTGCCATATCATTTTTTATATGCTATCTATTAAAAAATCTTTATTATTTTCTCTTTCCCCATCATTAACTTTATATGCCATCAAGCTTAGACACAACAGCTCCCATGGGTGTCCACTCTATAAGCAATAAGTCCCATCACAAAATGCACAAAATGGTGACAATCTTTAACAAAACGGGACAGCCATTCAAGGCTATCCAAGTCATTCACCCATAGAAAAAACCCTCCTTTGTTCTTCAATTTCAAGAACTTACGTTTTGTGAACAACGTTATCTTCTCCCTGTTGTTATTTTTCTGTTTTGCTTTGCTTTGCTTTGTTTTCGACGAAATCATTAGAGAAGCCAACTCCAGTAATTAAACTGCCCCCACTTAAAAAGGAAGAAGAATCATCACTTCAACAATCACCATCGGCGCCGCTCGAAGCTTTCTTCGAATTCCTTCTCATCGTTGCGGCACAATTCGCTTTAACGTTAATCTCAATATCTGGTTTGTGAGTTCCTAACTGTAGCACGACGGTTTACATTTGTGATTCTGGCGCATCACTGTTTAGTGGTGGGAAGGTGATAAAAATGAATGATGAGGGAATAAAAATGAGATGGCTAGAAAGGGAGTCACAATGGGAAAGGGAAGGGATGAAGAAGATTGGAAAAGGGGAAGGCTACTGAAGGGGAGGGCAAAGAATATTGGCGGGAAAAGGGGTTGAGGGAGGAACAAAAGACGAATTGGGCGTTGGGGGAGGGGGGATATTTTAATTCCTTTTCCTTTTCTTTTTTATGTTATATTTTTCTTTTGATTTTATTATTATTTATACAAAAATAATTGTTCTTCACTCGCTTTTAGAAGCGTGTATTCACACACTTTATTATACTCATTAAAATAAATGCCACATAAGCTTGGTCAACGGTCAGAAGTGCTTAAAATATAAGTTTTGACTAAGTTGAGGTGTCTAGATGAAAACTTATAAAGTATAGTGACCGGGATGTCAAAACGGTATAAGTATAAGTGCCTCTTAGGCTATTCTGCCTAAAATAATTTATAAATTTACTCATTTTTAAAAATATACTTCAGATATACGGGATTGAAATAATAAAAATTCGTCTAAATCAAATTTCGGATATTTTTGTCTCAAGCTTGGCCTGGCCTGCAAAGGCCAACTTGAAACATTTTTGACTGAAGTTGGGGCGTTAGTAAACCATTCTCTGGCAACAAACTCCACCTTGAGACTCTTCTTTCCGGTACTTCGTTGAAAAACAAAGCAAAATCATCTCAGTTGGGTAGTAGCGTAAACAAAGTAGTATTGAATATGTGAAATCTTCTGGTTACTGAATTTTGTAAAGAAAGTGGGATGGTCATGTCGTGAATCATTAGATCTGGTTGACAATGTAATGAATTAGTGTGGATACATCAAGAATCGTCGCATTAGTAGATTTGTACAGAGGGTTGATTTCCCAGCGAATACAAGTCAGGGTGTCTAATCTTTCGCTCTCCAATAATGTGCAAGAATAAATTAAGTGCATAATAATTTATATTAGATCAGGGCAAAAAGAGTGGATCAAAAGCCGATGGAAATAAGAAGAAGAAACACACGACCGAGGAGGTAAAGAAGAAGAAGAAGCAGCTTCGGCGAATCTGTCTTAAATTGGGTACCGATTAAAAGTTTTAGAAAAATAGAATATAGGCTAACTTTTACTGGGTATGTTGTTATATCTTCAAGTCAAACCAGGCAAGTACTCCCTCGTTACGTTGAATATATTTTCTTTTTGGTCCGTTTCAAAAAAAATGACTCGCTTTCTAAATTTGAAATTATTTTAGCTTATACTTACAATTCTACCCTTAATGAGAAGCTTTTATAACCATACAAACACTCTGGGCCCCCTTTTGACTTGTTTAGGACTACAAATTCTAAAAGTCTTAATTTTTTCTTAAACTCCATACCCAGTCAAATAGGTTCACATAAATTGAAACGGAGAGAGTAACAACTAACAAGAAGTCAAGCCAACAATCTGTTAAAATGCTGAGACAACAGAAAGCTCATGTCTTATATGTAAAATCGGAGCTTAAATATCCTGTGACTTGTATAAAGTACATTAATTGCAAGAATTATAAAAAGGGAAAGGCGTAGAGGTGAACCGCATGTAGGATTAAGGTATAATTAAGGTGAAATATTAGGCTGTATTGGATAACCTCTAGTTTATAATCCCTTTTTCTTTCCCTTATATTTAATGGGTAGAACAATATTAGGATAAATCACAAATGTTCTTTTAAATTGAGCGACTCTTTCACAAGAGATCAATAAAATATAACATAAGAAATCGGTAAAACAAAAAATAAGAAATCTTTGTCTGATTATTTTTTTCTATTCAAATAATAAATTGTCGCAGGAGATTGTTTCCTCCATAATTTTTAATTTCTTTTTGCTTGAAGGCGCTGGATTTATTATTAAACAGTAAAAGCTAGAGATAGTTATTACAACATCGGAATGATCTTAACGAAACAGTCCCAAGTAAGTCTTTGCGAGTACAGAAAGCAAATAAAGGTAGTTCATTCTAGAAGTGTTCGTCGCACTCAGCGTTAGTATGCAAGTTACACTGGCTCCCACACTGTGCTAGTGTGTGCGCCACTTGATTTCCTTCACGGTAGACATGCCTAACATCCGGTTGGCCCAGTGCGTCGAGTTGGAACCTGCAATCATGGAGAAAATGAGCATTAGCTTTGATGTGGGATTGTCGTTTAAAAGGTTCAGTAATATCTAGCAGTTTGTTTCCACAATAATCGTAATTCGATTTTTTGTGAAAGCAAGTTCCAATCCTTTTAGTAGGGCAAGAATTTCTGCTGGGATGGGTGACAAGGCTATTATATGGCATGAGAACCCATCAACCCAATGTCCTACGGAATCTCTTATGATTCTACCTGCTCCTCAAGTGTTGGAGTTTTTTTGGTGTGCACCATCTATATTGAGTTTATACAGGTTTTGTGGTGGGGGTGTCCATTTTATTGGGATTTTTGTTGTTATGAAACGTTTGAAGTTATGAGTTGTAAGGCAGAGGTATTCCATTGCGTGTGAAATAATTTTTGTGCTATCAATCAGTGTTGAGCAGTTATTGTAGATGTTATGGTTCCGATTTAGCCAAATATGCAAAAGGATAATTGGTGTGAAGAAGGCCAATGGGATTGATGAGTTATTTGGGAGAATGATGCTCTTAGTGAAGGTATAAATATTCCTTATCCATTCGTGTTGGTTCGAGTGTTGGGTTTCTATATTTAGCTCTTCCCATATTGAAGTGTTCATAGGTGTCGCGCCCCTTTTTCTCGCGAAATTGGGTTTATGACATTTTTGGTTAAGACAACTCGTTCTTTTTGGGAAAGGGGTTTGCATTTTTTGAAGAGTCGCCACCTAACGATTTAAGGTGCGTTAGGGCACCTATAGGGTTCATTTATAACTACGTTTGATAACCAGAGACAGGGTAAGGGCTTGAAATTATCCTAAGGGGAAGGTGTTAGGCACCCCTCAGGATCCACTAGTGTGGTTCTCGGCCAGACAGTTTTGTGTGAATTTGTACAATTAGCAAATAAACAAGTATGACTCAAATAGTATGGGATTTAAGGTTAAATACACAGATGCTTGAAAAAAAAACAGTTAATGAAAAGAAGTACAATCTAAGCGTATTTGTGAATGTAAAGGAGTGTCCTAGGTTGGTCAGCCTATAGGATCACATCAGTACAATGCCCGGTAATCACTCCTTAAAAAGGGGCTACGCGTGGCATTAGCGCACCTGTCATCATATCCATATCTACCCTTTCTCGCCCCGTGAAGGTAATTAAAGCGAGGGTTGGTCTCGACCCCTATTGCATGCGGTTACCCGTCCATTCCTATCAGTCCCGGAGGAATTTGGGACTCCTATCCTATAAAGGGGGAAGTTCTAGGCAGACCCTCAGGTTTAAAGGGCAAAATACTAGGCGACAAATAAAAAACACATAGGACTGCATTTAGGGGGTAAAACACAGAAATCAGATAGAAGGCTCAGATATACCTCCACAAGTAATGCACATACGCAGCACGACTCATACGCAATTAAGGTCTAAATTCAGAACCTAACAAGGTATTTAAGTGATAATAGTGGGACCAGATTTATTACATAACTCAGAAAAGAAGTCCGAATCAAGCTTGCCTACTGATTTTAGCACGTTGACAGTTAAACACTAATCATAAAGACGGTTTTGGTTTTATTTAAAGTTGATTGCCTAAGGCTTGCCTAGGCGCGGAATACAGATGACTATATTTTATATAGTGAAACAAGGCAGGTTTTTTAAAGCGGACTCTTGAATCCTTATAGGCATGATATCTAGTGACAAATCAAGGCAGTTTTTGAAAGAACTTGTTTTAGAGAAAATAAACCAACCAGTTTCGAAACGAACTAAAACGTGGACTGGGTTGATTTATTTAACTAAACTAGTTAAGATCTATAGACAGAATTTCTAGAGTTATTCCCTATAGGCATGACATCTAGTTTTTTAACACTGATTTCAGAAACTTTGCAGGCATGATGACCAATGAAAGAAAACATGTAACAC